CGCTCGGCACTCCCTGTGACGCCTACCGCCCAAGGACGTGTATTGAGCGCGGGCTGCGTGCGCTGATCCACGCGCGGACCCTTCGAACTGAAGTGATCGGTGAGATCCGCAGGTCGAGTCCGCGTCTGCCTGGGGGCGAGGGGCCGTGGGGACGGCACATGCAAAGGTCCGGGGGCACCCGGGCTGGGGGTGCTTTGCACGCCTGGCCATTGGCCATCACGTAATTGCGGGGCGCACAGGAGGCAAGGGCCGGCGGCCAGGAGGGCAAACCTGCGGGACTTTTTGAAGAATTCAGACTATAGTCCCCTAGGTCACGGGACAGCTGTCACCTAGAGGGGGAAGGATCAGATCTGCATTTGAGAGTCACCTCTTCCTCTGAAGGTCGGCAGGGCGAGGAGATGGAGGCCACAGTTCCATGCTGGGCACGGCCCCAAGTGCCCCCTGCCAATGGCAGCAGCCGGGACACCCACTAGTACAGCGAGTCCTCACTTAACCATGCTGGCTGGCCGGACAGGTTCTGCCTTAAGCAAGCGGAAGTACCAGGAAACAGCTGTACCTGGGGCTAATGTCAACCAGAGTTACACTGTTTCTGTGCATCCAGCCACCCTCCCAATGAGACAGCGGGAGGGAAGTGAGTCCCCCGAGGACCTGGAGGACTAGACTCCAGACCAGGCCCCGGGGGCTCACACCAGGCCTGAGGCACAGGGAGGCGGGGACCTACAGACTGAACAGGCGACTTCACCCAGCTGGCGAGCTCTGAGGCCAGGCCGTGTGGAACCCTTCCGGGCGGCAGTAATGTCGGTGGCCTCAGGGACAGAGGCCATCGGGGCTCGCTGATTGCTTAAGGTCCTGGTACTGGGGCGGATGTGCCTGACAACAGCTGCAAGACCTTGGACAACGATCTCACTCTCTTTTTTGTTTGAATCCCTACCCAAGGCTATATTTTTTAAAATATATTTTATTGATTTTTTTTTTTTTTTACACAAAGAGGAAGGGAGAAGCATGGAGAATTAGAAACATCGATGAGAGAGAAACATCGATCAGCTGCCTCCTGCACACCCCCTACTGGGGATGTGCCCGCAACCCAGGTACATGCCCCTGAGCGCAATTGAACCTGGGACCCTTCAGTCCCCAGGCCGACGCTCTGTCCACTGAGCCAAACCGGTTAGGGCCCAAGGATATTTTTTACAATTATTTCTAGAAAGAGCAGAGATGGGGGGGGTAGAGAGAGAAACATTGAAACACAAACATGGATGTGAGACACATGGATTGGTTTCCTCCCACACACATCCCCACCAGGGCTGGGGAACCTGCAACTGAGGTACGGGCCCTCAGCCAGGAATCGAACCCCGGACCCTTGCTTCATTGGGCAGGCCAATGCTCTAACTACTGAGCAAAACTGGCCAGGGCTGATTTCACCCTTCACAGGCGCCAGTCTCGTCAGTCAGAAACGAGAGCACCTGAGTCCTGGGTGTTGCCACACGGTTGAGACATCCACTGGCTGCAGGGGTTGCCCGATAATCCGGGGTTATTAGGTTCCATTTAATAGGAGTGGAGAGTCGTGGAAGGTTCAGAAGGCGTTAAAGAGGGGCGTGTGGGGCTTCGGGGCCCGAGGAAGAGGGGGTTCCCGGATGGCAGCTGGGTTGTGGAATGGCCTGCGGGACAGGCTGGTCAGGGCTGAGGGGTGCTCAGTGTTGGACATGCCAAGTTCAAGGGCCTCCCTGAGAGGGTGGACGGCCGGGAAGCTGCCAGTGATGGGGAGGATTTGGGAGCCCTCTGGCACGGGGACCACGGCCTGTTGACATTGGCACCACCCAGCCCCGGGCTGCCCTTTGCTCCCTCCGCCCCCTGGCCACCTTTGTCCGTTCAGGGAGCTCTGCCTCCCCCTCTGTCTGGAGAAAAGGGACTTTAGCGCTAAGTGTGTCTGTTCTCCTCAGCCCTTTGGAGTCTCGCTCTCGTTTGTAACGCATTGCGCGTACACAGGCGCTCGAGGTGCGTGAACAGAGAGACAAGCTCGCTGACTCGGGCTGTGATCGCTGCGCAGGCTGACGTGGAGCGATGGCGCCCAGTGTGGAAGGAAGCGAGGAGGCCCTGCTCCCCGATCTCCCCAGGGGGCCCCTGCATGCCTACCGCGCCCGCGCCTCCTTCAACTGGAAGGAGCTGGCGCTGTTCTTGGAAGGCGAGGACATGCTGCGCCTGAAGGTGAGGCTGTGGCTGTGGGCCATGGCCGGGCTGACCCACGGGGGGGTGCCGGGCTGACCACGGGGGGTGCTGGGCTGA